AGCAGAACAAATCGTTTTGGATTTTACAGTGCTCAACAAGATTCCACGCTGCTGGTCAGTGTTCAACTGGAAGTCCACATACAATACCGATCATACGAATTGGAGAGACGAATTCCGAAATTGATGCTGCCGGGAAAACAGCACCATCAGCAAATCCCTCTTTTGGGTTTTTCTGTTCATGGCTCTCGTATTAATGGGGTTGGCTGGCACAGTCTAAGTGATAAATCCTATTGTTAGAGTTGAAAGAAAGGCACCTTAAAGAGAGGCAAGAACAGAAGCTAGGACATTTGCAAGAAAAACAACAAAATAAACTCCTCGATCTGCAGTAAATCTTGGATTTATTTAGGATAACCGATCGCGCCGACTCTGTGGTCTCCTTGTATTTGTCAGTTGATTCTTTACATCAGCAGAAAATACCTCTCTTCGAGTAAGATGATCTGTCTAAACGAGACACGGTAGAATGCCCTGGGGCTCCCGCAGCTTTACACCAACCACGGAGCCTCGCACGGGAAGTACGTAGCATCCATCGGTTCCACTCGGTCAATTGCTGCCGAAAGTGGAACTGTTTTCGTTCGACGGGTGACCAGAATGCACTGTAACTCATTCGGTAGTTTTAAGTCTACGTGGCGTCCACAACTTCATACACAACACAAAGACTGCTGTGCTAGTGCGGAGGTAAGGCACTCAAAGCAATAGAAGAATGCGTTATGCTGCTCCCTTCGTCCGGGTATCGCCGGGCCCAGGCTATATTGAAAGATCTGTTTGACCAGCCGCACGAAGTTGAACGCTCACTTTGAGGCAGCCTCGCGGCAAACAGTGTGGCGATCCAGGGCAAACCAAATTAACTATCTAGGTTGGCAGTTGAAATGGAAAACAGTTTAATGACACTAGTAAAAATTGGGTGACTTTGGAAGAATTGTAAAAACATTGCCGTACTCCCTGAAGCGTTCCTGGGAAGAATTGGTCGTCAGAATAACCTTCAACGGACGACAGTCAACCTTCGAGGATTAGACAGAATTTGTGTCGTCGGGGGCGAGAACTGCCCGTTTCAAGAACAGTTTAGCGGGTAAGCAGAGCTGTGCGCTTAGTCGCAGGGGATCGAACAAGGAAGCCACAGCCGATAATATACCTCTTGTAGTTTTGGTAGTTGAGATTGAATCAAAGCAAAAAAATTGAACACGTCCTCAATCGCATTCCACTCTGAACCCAAGGCCCAAAGTCAACTCACGACTGTTAAAACTGTTGAACCTGCTCGTAGTTTGACCCTGCTCTGCTAATTGCCCGAAGTGACTACGGACGTCCGTTGGAGGTTATTCTGACGACCATAAGGATCGCCGCATTGACACAAAAAAGCCACGTAAGCGCAGAGGTCAGTCATCGGTCCAAGGATAATGGCCCGGGTGGAATTGATAGACAGACACACAATATCAAGAAACACGATTACAGTCATCAGACAATCACAGACCATGACTAACATGAGGGATCACGTGGTGCTTAAGGTCAAAGTTGGAATGACGGAAAAGAACGTGTGCACATAGGATCGGAACAAGGGTGATTGGAATGGGGGACCAACCGCAGTCACGCACTGGACCCGAAAGGGATTTTCTTCGCACAGTGGTTTCTACAACAATATTCTAATGTGAGCCGGAAAGCANGCCTCAAAAGGGAATGGGCCATATAAAAAGACGAGTGTTTATTAGCTGTGGTATGGATGCGTGACATCTGGCAGAGTTTCCTCCGATGGACGACTACCATCAAAAGACATAACTCGAATAGGAGATACACCGAGGTCAATTTTGAAGAACACAACGGGGAAATCGAACGAACGGACGCATGACAGGCTCTAAGAGCGTCCAATATCGCGTATTTCTTACTTTATGAGATGAAGTAATGTCGTCAGTAGCAAACCCACTAGTAAGCTTTGAGTAGATAGATGCAGACATTTATTTGTATGCCAATACCTGATGCAGATCACCTGAGGAAAAACAAGCTGAATGAATAATCAAACAAAAATACTGTTTGAAATCAAGGCATGTACGCTGGGTGCCCTCTACTCTGAAACGTAAACATGTTTACGTCACAACTAACTAGTACCAACAAAGTAAAAACGTGCGGAATGATTTCCTACGAGAAATATAGTCCATAGACTGAACACGGGAGATCTATTTAACATGTTGGGAATGGGTTAGATATCTGTAGAGAGGAATAGCATTCAGGAGGATCTGTGGCAGTTCCATGGCGCATAAAGACTAAAAACAGTTAAACAAGACAACCAATCAACAAAAATAGGGTACAGAACAGGAACCAAATTGACTCACAGTACCGTAGGAGTGTCAGGTATGACTAAGTGGTCAGCCACTTGCACGATTAACTTTTGTGCATTCATCGAGGTACCGGTTCGGGTTCTCCACGATCTCGAGCAACAGTATTGGAGTAGTAGGGTGATATAGGGGAGTGCTGATGAATACATCTGGAGAAAGGTTAGTCCATGCAGTCGCAACAGTAAATGCATCTATCAAGACAAGCTCGTTTTGTTGTGTAAAACAGTAAAACGTTATGTACAGAGATAATAAATAGGTGAATTGTAGAAGAGTCACGGGCCAAATGATTTAATACAACCATAGAGATACTCTTAACGCGAACGTATATACACATTTAAAAAGAGTACCGAGCAAATTATGGTACGCTAGCCCTTCTAATGAAGAAATCAGTCGATGTTTCGATTTAGGGTATAAAACCGCCTGGTTGCCTTCAGCTAATCAAAGCCCACAAAGCAATGGCGTGAGGGTGAAAAACCGCAATCCATTGAAGACTGATGTTCAGTCTATCTGAACGAATGGTATTTGGGGGTGGTTCGGAAGTCCAGGATGCCCAACACACCGAAATCGAACCATTGACCATTTCTCCGGGAAATCCAGGAGTAGGTTCACACATATAGACACACACGCCACTTCTTGGACGATTTGGAATGATTGTGTCATAGCTCCTCTAAATGGGGTGAATACCGATAGCTTTTCAACCCGTCTGAAGTCCCAGATATTATTGTCGAAAAATAGAAGGGATTTTATCAAAGATGTGAATTTATTGCTTATGACTGATGACTGAAAAATTGGCTTGTTTTATCCACGGCGAACGAAATTGAGACACGAGGAAAAGGGAACAACTTGCAAGTCGGTCTTCACATATATGCATTGATCCAGTTTATGTGAGGACGGAGCAGAATCACCATATGGGATGCGGCGATGCCCATACAACACCGAAGGACTATACGAATTTTGCTTTAAGAAGTGTAAAAGGGAAGGAAATTATGTCAGTAAACTTCGACTGTTTGTGATTCGGTTGGAATGAGACTTCTCATCCCATTGAATTAACAGTTTCAAATAAAATAAAGGGATTCACATTAATAATGAGTACGAATCTGAAATGATGAAAGTAGTGACGGATTTGATCAATCTGTTATTGAATCAAGCTGTGTGGCGTATACGGATTCTTTCAGTTGAACGAATTTTTCGTGCGGCCAATATATGTTATACCGGACGAACAAATCAATGAGTAGAACACAGAATCACATTTTTCCTATGCACGTAGATACTTCCGGTGATTACTAAAGAAATTCAATCTTTTGAATTGGTGCATTTATCACCTTTCTATCCGCTTCCGCAAGTAATGCGTTTTTCGAAGGAAATTCTAACTAAAAATCGACATTATCTGTTTCTTCGTTTTCAAACACTAACTGCACGAGGCTGAACGCATTGATCAGTTTCAGTCGTGATCCTTCTTCTGTGTAAACGAATCAATGGTGTTTGACGTTTGATCGATAACGGGGCCTCACGTGAGCGGAACACCGATCGTTTTCATTTGAAGTAAACAAATTTTACATCAAAATTGAACATCAATGGCATAGTAAATGTGTTTGCTTCAACCGCATAAAGACCGTGTGGTTTGACGTATCGAGAGGAAGTGTTCGGATAGTATGATACTATTTAAACCGGCTTTTATGTAAGCCATCAATCACTTGACCTCTGTTAGACAAAAGCTTGATTAGGCCGAGCACCTTAAGTTTATGATATCTCTTAGTAAGGGCGCAGAGTGACTTGAACTTAGTTTAAATTACTGATGTGAAAATGGAAAGGGTGAAAACCTAATGAAGTTTCTGAAGATGATCAGTTTGTGTGTGTGAGTGTATATGTAATAGCTAACGAAGGGTAATGGACAATCCAGTCGCCCTGCCCTCCCGACTAGTCAAGAATGTTTACTACTGGGCTTGTGTACCTGCTGTGGCTGGCACTATGAACTTTCGGGAGTCAAAAACTCTTTCCTCGAGCTATTCGCTCGATGTGAATCACCTAAAGTAACTTACTACAATAGAATAACTCCATTGTTTTATCCTTGTGAATGCATAAGACCGTTGTCACCCTGCACGGTTCTTTTTTTGGCCATGGCACTCACACCAAGGTTGATTATGTATATCACTCGAAATGTGGGAAAAAACAGGTGATCTGGGTTTGTTTACATCATGTATTCCAGGTTTAGGAAGTTTGGATAAAACTCACCTTCTGAATCCTTTCTCGTGACACTCGAACTGCAAGATTTTTCGCTACTTCATGGAAGTATTGGAGAATTTGATTGGATTCTCGGGTGCATTTTGTCGTGTACGGAGCAAACAAGGCGTGGTCTGGGACGCCAGGAAGCACTGGACAGCTGTTTCGAGCCGGTTGGGTCTCATCAGCAATTCAAGACCATCGACCCTCAAATGAGGATCGAACCGGGAACAGCTGTTTTGTGCTTCCTGGCTTTTCAGTTCAAGTTTCATTTGCTCTGTACACGAAAATCTTCACCGCGTACTGTCTAACCTGCAAAAAAGTGCCTGCTTTACATCTCTTCCATCTATTTCAGGTTGGTTTTTACTGCATCATTTGCTCGGAATCAATCTGCCATTTGAGTCCTCGAGCGATGTGGTTGTCAGCTACGATCAGCCGTTTGATATGCCTCCGTCCACCGCACTATTTTGGACTGAATGGTCCGAATGGCCTGCATGCCCAAGCTCGGAACCCTGCCATGTGGACAAAGCACACAAATCCCCGATTCACATGATGAAACGGACACGGCTTTGTCAACGTCAATCGGTCAGTGACTTGACACAGACCAAAAGTGTGCCGAATCCGCTCACTTGGATGCAAGCATCGCAAGCTCACACTCCGTGTCTGATTGAAAACGCGCGTGAAACGCAAGTCAAGTTTTGTGAGCCGACAGAAACATGTACTGATGATGGTAAGCGATCTGTCTGTGCGTGCGTGCGCTCGTCCATTTGTCCTGTTCAATGTTAATTGCTTGAGCAGCTTTGATCAGTCTTCTAGGAAGATACCTCTATTTATTGATTTAAAATGACTACCATTCGGACTTCACATTCACGGACGATCCTCAGTTCATCCAGTGAACTATACACACGAAAGCGCTAGACTCGAGTTTCGCTCTTACCATAGCTCATCAGTAATGCGTGTCTACCACCCCGTCCAGGCTGTGAACACTGGACCAATCGTTTGAAAGGCGAATGCGTTACACTTGTGCCAACCAGCTCACAACGGGACTGAGCCGAATTACCAATTGATTTATGTTTAAGAATCGCCCTTAGTGATAGTCTCTTGGCAGATGTTTGAGGTCCAACAGTTGTTGAGCCTTTTTATTCAGTACCCGTATCTGATTCGAAATCGACAGGGATCATCCGACGCCCTACCATACCAATGCCATACCATACCTGCCAATTCATTTATCAGATGATCTCGCATACTACGATCTGTGAACTAAATTTGAGAGCATAGTGTTTTGAGTTTGCGTCCGTGTTAGTTTACCTCTTATAAGTAGGTCAGATTTACAATCGTGGAGCATTTTATGGATGTTTGAGGGGAGTTAACATTCCTTCCCGACATTCAGAAAGTCCAACCACTGACTCCACTACTTCAGGAGTCAACGCACTTAAAGGCAATCTATAAACAGCTTGAAAATATGTTCATAATTCCTGAAGATTTTTCAGTTTATTGAAGAATTAAACTGATTTAGTTTCAGCATACTTCACAGGGAGTAGCATCCACTAACTTGTACAGCCGGAGATTCAGCCAAAAGATGGTTGAATTACCATGGGAGATGTTGCAGGAAAAAACTATTGACAAGGCAGTGTATTTGCAATCTTCTAGTAGAAAAAACAGGTATGAGTAAAGATATACAACAAACTGTAAGTGATGGAATGCTTGCCGGCTGAATACGTGAACAGCAATATTTTAAAATGCAGATATTAGTCGGATGAGTCGTGATAGACCCGGGGCAAGCAGCAAAGCAGTTCAGCGGGAAGTCACGTCACCGGATACAGGTGTTAGATATTAGAATTTGTAACCAATTGACAAATGACCTAAATAGCTCGACCGTCAAGGATGAACTTTGTCATTCGTAATCAAATAATGAATGATGCTTAAGCGTGAGCCTCCTTGAACAATTTCATACATCGTGGCCAGATAAGTGATTGAGGCCAGGGTGGTGGCAAGTCACGACTACTTTGCAAAGCGAGAGGTTACATCCAAATAAAAGTTAAATGATAAACAACATAGGCTAGTAATAAAAGATAAAATAACATTAAAAAGCGAATAATGAGCCTCACAACGGAAAACACCACCCGAAGGGTGAGACTGGTTCTCAGATTATTTTTAAATAATCTACAAACATATTTAACCAACTTGACGATTCAGTTAGAGATGCGAAACAACCAACCAGAACGTACGAGGCTGAGTGAAAATAAACAATAAATGATTTGGGATCTCCAGCTCAGACTTATGGCGTCAGATTTCACAATGGTTAGCATAACCATTTAAAGCGTTCATGGTTCAAAATTCCAAATCCCAAATGAAGAGCCTTTAGGTGTGCAGGGCACCCTTCGATCCTGATGCACCGTGCACCAGCCTGAGTGGATTAAGTTGTAAAATGGCGAGGAGGGAAATCAGCTACAGGAACGAACTCTGTCTTGTTTTTCACCTAAAACGATCATACTATTAGCGTTCTGAGGCAATTTAATAAACAACAACTACTCGTATGCCTGATTCGATATGAGCGGCTTTTTTGCCAGTCATATTTAGGATATGCGGTTGCTTTTCATGAGACAAATTCAATAAGCAACATAGTCTGATAGGTTGGGGTCCAGTTTTGAGAATGCATTTCTTGATCGAAGGTACTTCTTTGATAATGTCTTTCTGTTATTCCGTTTCTCTCACGCAGCCACCACTGAAATGCCACACGATAGTGCATTTGTAATAAATCAAACCGACCCGATTCTCGGGCATAAAAGCCTCTCGAACGAATTCACTCTAACTCTGCCGGAGAATTTGATCACGGACCCCACGAGTGAGTTATCCCAATCCAACGTGTCCCGGATTTGATAGCAGGTAGTTTGACTGAAAGTTTGATCTTTGCAGTATATGTTTTTCAAATGCCGCGAAAATGAATTCCGTGTTTTTTTCATCGGAACTTAAGGCGGCTTTTTATGATGCCCTGGTTTAAAATATCGAGACTTTTAAGTGCCATTAGTTTCTCTATCATTTTGTGGCTCACGGTTGATGGACAAAGCATATTTTTGTATTGTGTTTGCAAACGTTTTCAGTCGCATGACCGTGTTTGCTTCACTAGTAACTATCCCTATAACAACTGACGTTTTACTCGCTTTTCATCTTGACCTACTCGCTTATGAACACTTCTCATCCAGGAAGCCTTCACGTTTGAGTATTTGCACCAAATGCTGAATCTAAATCCAATCGATAATCACGTGTTTTTCCAATGCTATCGAGAATCCCCGTTTTTGAAACTGTGGGAGTGTGGAAAATAGTGGAATATCGAAATCCCCACATGGTTAATGGAATTGCTATTCTATTGATTGAAGCTCACGAAATAGAGCGTATAACCGTGTCTGAGAGATTGTGATATGGGAAATCACAGTTTTCTCCCCGGAGTAATTGTAATTATATAGCGGATTTCATCGTATACAGAGCAAATGAATAGTGAACTAACAATCACAGTTCTCGCCAAAGAGCAGTCACACGAAAATGAGCATTTGCTCCCAGAGTAATTATGATCAAACTCAAAGTCAGAGTTTTGCAATGGGAATTAATTACAAGCTCATGCCTCTCATGAACCAATAGGATATATGCACAATTGAACCGCTTTTCGGCAGAAGAGAATAACATGTCATATAGAGTTCCAGGTAGGAGATAAAACGTAATTATTTTTCAACCAATTGGCATTTTTCAGTTTTGTGGGAATGCGAAATGAGCCAGGATTTCATCGAGTCTCCGCTTAAAAGATTCGACAGTTGGAGCACAAACGACATGATATGGAAGGGTGTTCCAGGTGCTGCACACTCTGACTGCAAAAGATTGACGGCGGTATTCAAATCGACACTTTGGAACTTCAAACGATGTTCGCCCTAAGCTGTATGTTGGGAAAAAACATGAACAGCGGTCGACGTGGAGGGTTTGAATTCTACATAATTCGATCCGTCAAAAACAAAACTCCTCGAATTCGACTGTACTGAACAGAATACAGTCCCAATCATCGTAATTTCCCTTTATAGTTGGAGCAGCTCAATCCATTGACCATCTTGGTGGTGATCCTCTGTAGACGCTTCAGCATCCTACGATCACGTGGCAACCATGGACTTCAAGTTCCGATAGCGTACTCTGTGTACGGTTGAATATACACTGATAACAACAAACGTGTGAAAAACGCTGATTCAATTCGAACAAAGACATGAATAGGCAGGGTTATATTCTTCACAGCAGCAGACGAATCCTAGTGCAACTGATCGAGGCTTATTTAGACTGTAAATGTTACAAAGTATAATCCAGCGGTCGTTATGACAACTCACCTTGATCAAGGCCACCCTGATTTCGGGTTTTAGCTTTCTCGTGAAAAAATGCGAATTGCAAACAATTTTTTATCGAACCTCCTTTGGACTCTGTGAATCAATTTTTCAGGTAGAAAATGTTTTGCTGAATTTATTTGATTAGGAAAGGTTTATAATTAGGTTTGAGTGGCGTTTAGTTGAAAAGAATGTTAACACCGTTGGGAATGAACTGGAGTTTTTCAATTTACTGACAGTTTGATGAATAAATCAAAGCGATTTAGTACAATTTGGGAACTTTAATTATATGGCGAACTCACGAGAATTTAAATTAGATATAACGACCGCAACAATACTCTGCTTCGTTTTAGTGATCACGCCACATTTTAACTTGTTTTACTCCCTTCTACTAAACGGCCGAATCGTTTTGTTTTTATATGGGATTCGTTTGGCTATGCATCACTCATTTGCGAACATGTTGCGACACCGTCAGTTACCAAGTGGCCTTGGGGTTCTACAAAAATCACTTTGGGGCTCCAGATTTTGAATGATTTTAAAAATGCCCAAATCCGTTGCTTTATTCATTCACCAGTAAGGTTCACTTCTTTGGTGGGCCGGGTAAAAGCATCACGAGCAAAAGTCGCAGTCAGTTATGCGGCACTCTAATCCAGGTTGCATGTTGTTCCTACCAGAGCCCATTGAAATTCGTTTCTCATGTGTGATAAACAACGCGCGGTTGTGATCATTTTGGCCACGCTTTAGTGCACGCCGTGATAGGGTTTGTGATGAGGTTTGGAAACCCAAAACGCTACATTGATATCATGAAGTCCTTGATAGGTTTAAAAGTGTAGCCAAGAGCACCGTGAAAAATAACTCACCAAACATTTGTGCTGTTAGACCACTTTATGAGGACGTGTACTGCTTGAGAAAGTACGTTGAATTAAACTGTTCTGTCCATTTTCCGGCATTTTTGTATTCTTTTGGAAATCCCCGGGTGTATTTAATTTGTTGTCCTTAGATCGTTTCACCTGACAGGTTAGTACCCTGTTGAGCGAGGCGTGACGTGCTCAACATGGGTTGTGTTATTTCGTGCCTGTGCAAAATGGAAAACAGTCTGATCAGCCGCTTGGCGGTCAAGTGTGCAGTGTGCTTACAATCTACCCGTGAAGGTCCAAATTATATCCTAAAGTTGACAAATATACATGCATTGCGGAGGAGACCCAACCAGGTCAACACAACTGAACAGTACGTTTTAAGGTCTTAGTTCACTGTAAACAACGAAATTCATCGTGAAATCTAGGGAAATACTCCAATACGTTCATGAAACTCAATTACGCCTGTTAGCTGCACGAGAACAATGGGAAAATGCTGTTTTTGCCTCTAGTACGATGATGAACAAATGACGTTTCTCCAGCAGGTTTAATGTTTCAGTTTCCGTTATCTGATGTCTATAGTAAATGATAATGAGGAAGACAGTTGTAGTTTTGAGAATAGTATTCGAAATGAAGCTCCAGAATTCGCGCAATACCAATCCCTAAAATAGAACAACTTCGAATCGAATAGCACACGTACTTTATTCGAATCGTATACTAAGCATATTCAATGCATTTAAAGTGTGCAAGGAATTTTCGTGGTCAGTGTCACACATCACAACAATAGCAATCTATACTCTACCAGTCATTGCAGACGCTGTATAAACGAGTGATCTTATGAATAGAGTTCATTTGGTTGATATCCAGTCACATACCTGTGAGTTTGTTCGAACACAATGACTGCTTGAAATCTCCCGTATACACGAGTGAGACGTGGAACGCGCAATGACTATTCGATGCATTATGTATCTCACAGTCAGTGTGTTGGAAGGTGAACAAACTTGAATTAGCCCATTCTTTTGTTCAGAGGCACCAAGCACTCTTGATGGTCTTGAACAAATCATTTGTTTGGTATCCAGACAGTTCCCTATAAATTCTCACGAATGTGAATGAATTTATCGGGACAGAAGGGTGACTTGAATGAGTTTGACCTGGAGCACTGCTGCGCTTCACATCTGCTCCCGCTCCCGCCCCTTCCCCTCTTGGAATCCCAGTTGTGAACGTGTTCACGCCGTCTTCCTCAGTAATGTCGATTTTCGTTGTTTGGTTTTCGCTTAATTCTTATACTCGTTTGTGACCGGAAATAAGATCATTGCTAAAATCAACTGAAGAAGTTTATCAGGATTTTTACATTCTGAATACTGGATCACAAAATCTACTGACCATTCATTCTCGTAGGCCCAGGAAGAAGTCAAACACAACTTACGCGCAGGCTCAACTCCGAATTATATAACATTAGCCAGCGCTTATGTTACCCGAGCGATGATTCTTTACGTCTGATCCGTTTAACATCTCCGTAGCTGTCATTATACACCAAGCACAGAACGACCAATACTGAATTGCGAGTTTATCGATCCAGTCTCTCGCTCGCTCGCTCGCTCGCGCGCGAGTGCGCACGTACTAACTGCACTGACGGTAAACTTCTGTCAGTTGATTTGCCATGCGAAATCATTTTATTAACTCTCCCTGACGACTTCATTGTCAGTAGTGTGAACTCACTGAGTATGTGTATGCCTGCGTGTGACGATTCTCACCCTCACCTTGCAGGTCACGAACTGATTGTTCGAATTGAATGATATGACAAATGGTCCATCGGTGGAATAGTTTATATAATAGTGTGTTGCGCATTTAGTCAATACTTGAATGATATAACCCCGATTCTTACTCATACCCCTTCCCGGTCGGCACCCAAATCAAGGAGGCGGTAAAAACAACAGATTCTTCTTGAATAACTTACCTGTTCACAAGCGTGTTTTCCTTGGTCCTTCCTGATTCGTAACGTTCTGATTTTCTTCATCCTTAATAATTTTACTTTTTAAAAACTATGCGGTTGCTTGACAATACTTTAACTCTACAGTTATGTCTAATTTATGATTCGTTCATTTGGATAGAACTAGAAAGAAACTCACATTATTTAATATTGCAAAAGTCCAGTGTTGGTCATTTTTTGCTCGATTAGTTTAAAAGTATAAAACTGAAAAATGCTGAAACCACTGGAATTCGGGTTGCTTTAATAAAGACCTCTTTAGAGTTATACGCCCACAAAACGTTCGATTCGTTCTCCTTCACAGAAAGATGAACGTCACACAACCTCTTACATCTTTATCCTCCACCCACCTATGAATTCCATTTCTCAAAAGATGATGATGAGTTGTGGAGCCCATGGCAATTAGTGGTGGCATGCCGCCCGCTGATTTTGGAGTTGGATGAATTGTCGGACGGGTTCGCCTGGGACCATTTACTGCGTGACTCAAATCAGCCCAAGCGAAAACGCTGTGAGCCGGGAATCGAAATCTATCGGCGAGACTGTCAGCCTCAACTGCGTCAGATCGGTCGATGTGGCGATAAACCGGTAAGCGATGATCCCAAAACATGATACATGTCTCTGATTGGCCGTAGTTGCCCTACTTGATTTACCACCGAGAGTGTAAAGTGCCAAGGGGTCTGGAAATATTTTGAAAGCTCAACTTTTCTGCTTCCATGTGGTCTGTTATAAGCTCTTTGTATTCCTCTATTTCTCAGGATTGACCCCAAATTCAAAAGGACAACCCAGAAAAATACTTTACTTATAAGCATTACGTCTCCTCATTAACAAGCCGTGCGTATTACATTTTACTGTAGCAATCGATTTTCTGCTATAAAATAGGTTCAACCGTGGCTTCCCATTTCTGTCACCTGGACTCAGCTGCCACAATTCACTAAAGCTCAACTACACAATCATTAGAAATTGATCATCGAAGGCTTTGGTTGACTTCCACTTGCACACGTCTCACGGCGGGATGACAATCAATTGTAAAATCGCTTTGATAAAGGTTACCCACGGTGATCGAAATGCCTGCACCGACATCGCTGTATTTTCACAATTACAACTTGTATGAAACATATCACATGGCGCGTAGATTTTTCGATACACTCCAAACGCCATTCGGATTTGACACTAAGGATGCATTTAATAATTAAACGGGGTTTATTACATCATTTTATCTAGGGAAACGGTCAGCAAGTAAACAGTTATCAACTACGACATGCTCATTGCTGGATCAACGAGCGTTGCCCCGGTGGAAATCAGACCATACACGGACCAATGGCTTGCGACTTTCGAACATTTCTAACCGAGCCGCGGTTGCGAGTGAGTTGGTATCGAACCCCATACGGTCTGTCACCCACGCACTATCAAGTTCGCATAATGCCCATAGACATGCTTCCCGGCGTTCAGATACACCGAAGTGAAATCAAGGAAGTTCCGCTCCGCCCATCCGATCCCTGGGGTGAGGCTTACTCGACCGACTTGGAAGAGTTGGAACTTGGTCAAGCGTATGAGGTGATTGTGAGTGCGGTGGACGCCGGACAGACACTGCACACATCTAAAACATGTCAAGCAGCGTTGATTATTGGTGCAGGTGAGTTCATTTTGCGATCCCGCGTTCGTAGATTCTCAGTAAATTTGTCTAATTCGAACAAATTTTCCTTTTGTAATGTTCGTAACTCAGCGGTGTAAAATGACTGGAAGCTAATTTTTGGATGTGACTTTGACGGGAAGTGGATCGCTGAAGTCCGGTACGGTAGAAAAGTTCAAATGATTGCACACTGTAGAGTAGTCTGGTGTTTGGCAATGTACGTCAATGTACAGTCACATTTTTGTTGAGAAAAAACCCTTGGATTCATGCAACCGGTGAACAAAGTTCTTTGGTTCTAAACCTGTATAAAGTAGCAAATTACTCAACTCTCTTGTCTATTAGTTCAACCCCCAGTTTTTAATGCCACCTCAAACTTGGTTTCTTATCGTGATGCACGTTTACGAAATTTGGGGCATTGCGGCTGTTAGTTGCTATCTTTAGTACTTCTGTTTCGCTTCATTGGTGAGTGAGTGTAAAAATGCCGCTTTTCCAGGTTCCAATGAACTATATCGTTTGCAGGTGTCAGACGGAAGGTGTTGCAGTATACAATGGTCTTGTGGTGTCACACACTAAGGAACTACTAGGACCACATATTCATCAAAACTTTAATGAGTTGAAGTTGGCTCCTCTTCTTTTATGTCCCAAGTGATCAACCCTCAGGGAGTATTATTAGGCAAGGTAGTCACAATGACCTGAGCCTATCAATTAGATGGATGATTACGGAATGTAGGCAAAGAAAACTAAGTGCTGTGTTAGTCAATTTTCTAGTGGTTAAAGGATTTCAATGCAAAATATAAAAGTGACTGCAGAGATTTTCTTTGGACTTCATTCATATGCGACGGATATCTCAAAGTAACTCAATTTTTTACTGATCTGGGATGATAATCGCGATTCATCGTAAATACCAACTCATATATTCCTCATAGGAGATTCCGTTGTTTCTAAATAAACTCTAGTGAGATTTGGCTCACTGCAATCGGAAGGTTTCTGTCTCTAAATTGCTTTAAACACACTGATCTAGTGAGATACATAAATTTAAACCGAAAATTCTGCGGAACACTCAATTTCCAGGTTCTTTTTCTGACTACTCATAAGTAGCAAACCTTTTCGATTAAATCAAATCTGTGAAATGGAAATCCTCACCAAGAGAAACTAACCTCACCTTAATTTCGGTTGCCACGTTGAAACCTGTATGTAGCCTCCAAAAGTAACTAAAGTCAACCGCTTAATAGAAAAGGGTAATTTGGTTCGATCATCAAGATAACCATTTATGAGACTGTTTAATATGTATTCTACCCAACTGACAGTTTTCCGGATAGGGTCTAAATATTGGTGGCTTATATGTCTCGAGGAGTCAACTTACCGTACGCATCGTGAAAGCAGCCCCTTTCATAACCACAGTATCAGGTATCAGCCAACTAAGTCGCATACTCGTCGATTAGTAATAGAAGATCACCTACCTTTCTCACTGTAGCCAACGTCTTCGCGTGTGACTGCTTTTAATAGGCAACAATTACTAACATCATTCTCACGCTCCCCAAAGCATGCTTTTAATGTACTGACTATAGACTTAAGGTACTAAGAATGTACACTTTTCTCGAATTTAATGTATATTAATATTTAGCTTCCTTAATTCTTCGCCTGATTTGTCAGATTGGTTTTAACTATCTGGTGTGTCTTCATTTTAGTGTGCATATTACATGCCATAATTTTTCATGGGATGCCCTTATGGTTGTAGAATAGGATTTCAGTTTTCCTATGAGTAGAACACACTATCATGGAACCGTAGCTAGAATAAAGATGAATCTGGAACTGTAAATGCACGTGGAGTGTATGACTTCAAGATTTTTGGTCCACTTGGGTGCACTATTCTCTTTTACGAGTAACATCCGGGTGTGGGATTTACGCACGCANTCAATAAAAGAGATGAAATTTGTGTTTGTTTGCCGTTTTCTGATTCTTCTACTCAGTGTCCTTATCACAGGTAGGATCATCCCATTTTCAAAAGGATCTAGAATCTATCTATTGAAAATAAGATTTACTGTTTAATGGATATACAATGTACAATACGCACACCAAGAAAGAACAGAATATTGATCGTTTCTGAGATCAGTTCAAGCTATCTGGTCTATATGGGTTGAGTTTCTTCTGATAAGGGCTCTCACGATCTACCCTTAATGTTTGCACGATTCAATTATGACGAAAACAACTCAAGCATATATTCTGTTNAAGATACCACGCAGGAATCAGATAAAGCCGGTTCTGGATAAAAAGTGGAACTGGATTAGTTTGTCTTATTTCTATCGCTTTTGCCGATATTTGGGACATATTATTATTAGCAACATGTACAATTGTTTACCACGATATCGTAAGACTCATACGAGTGCTATTTTTGTCTAACAAAGAGTATCTCAATATCATTGATAGGAGTCACATCGTATTCAAGGTTTAACTGGAATTCCTAAAGTTGTAAATAAAACAAACGAGCTTGTTCGCCACTCCTTGTTCTATTTGAAATGTGCTCTGTGGGACTGTTTAGACAATTAAAAC